AAGTCAAGAGGCACGTGCCTCGGGCAGCTTCCATGAGCCGACTGATGATAGTGCGTTCGTGGTCGTCAGCGGAGGGGAAGAGATCGGCGATGAGCCGATGTCCACACAATCGAGCGGTCTCTACAACAATCTGTCGCTGAACCGTGAATGGGAGATCGTGACGGTCGAGGAGGTAAAGCGACGGTTGTCGCTGTTTGACGTAGCCGATTCTTTTGGGCTACCCCTTCCTGAAGGATCCGACGAATCGAAGTTGTTGGACGAAAGTTTGATACGTAAAATCATGGAAATTTTGCCCGCCAGAGCTCAAGGGTATATTTTGTCATTTGATGCTTGAAATCTTTCTAGTTAGCCATGTTTTTTGGTATCCTGCGAAAAAAGGATTAAATCGACGTGATTCATCGCCAAATAATGATCATGTACTAATGATATTCAGATAAGTAAAAAGAACCGTTGTGCTTTGCCCAGAAATGTGATAAATTATCGTAGTTTTGGTGCCCGTTCTTCACAGCATAGACTTGAGTATGGATTTATAGAGTGTATCTTTGAACGGCAACTTTTATTTATTTACTTTTCGTTTTTCAGGTATCCATGGATTCTACTTTACTCGAGTGATAGAGACGGATTTGCTTTGTCCACGTTGTATCGTTCTGCAGGTGCTTTCAAAGAAAAAACTTCCCCTTGTTTATTGGTGATCAAGGACTCAAAGGGTCGGCTGTTCGGTGCGATCGTCAACTGTCTGTTGCGCATGTCGGATCACTTTTATGGCAGCGGTGAGTCACTGTTGTTCACTAATTTCCCTGAGTTTGACGTTTTCCGTTGGACCGGCGCCAACGATTTCATCGTTAAGGGCAGCATCGAAAGTATAGCCATTGGCGCTGGTAAGGGCCTCTACGGCTTATGGCTCGACAGCGACTTGTACCACGGTCGCACTGAGCATTGCGATACTTTTGACAATCGTCTCTTGACTGACATGGACTTTGTTACAGCAGGCGTCGAACTATGGGGCTTCAGTCTTGGTCTCTGAGACCACGATTCTCTCTGTTGCTGACCGCTACGTCTATAAAACCTCATAACAACCGGTCAGACGATTTTATTTCAAATTGCTTTCTTTTCCGCCTCTGCTGTTGTGGTTACTCATCAAGAAGCTATAATGGACGTATGGTGGCTGCTGTAGATCCGGAGACAGTCACCTGTTCTTGACTGTTGGCTTCCAGTATCAAGTGGTTAAGTTTTTTTTCGTAATGCTACATGTTTCTGTTATAATGTGGGTTTTGTTCCTGTGCAACATTTAAGTGCTGCCTTTTCAATGGACGTGGAAACGTATGTGCGGCTTTTTCACTTAGTGGAACTTCGATGGCTGTTTTTGTAGTCCTTGTGATTCGGTGTATAATTAATGCTTTTGTCATTGTATCCATGGTGACTCCATATTTGGCTGTGATGAAAAGTAAATGTTTTCCTGAAATATTTTCGTTGTCGTGGTGTTTATTCTTTGATGATACCTTATCAAAATATTCGTTGATTAGGAAATGCCTTTAAAAAGCTTTGTAGATGGGTCAAGGCATCAGAGCAACTTTTTCATTGCCTCAGGTTCGTGACACAGCAGCTTTACCTCGTTATTTACCTATGTTTACTGATTCGCTTTAGGGAAAGTACCTTGCGACTGTTTTAGCGGTGAATTTGTTATCTCTGGTCGTTATGTTGTTTTCCATCGCTCACACTCGAAGTTTAGGTGGGTATTGTTTGTTTTCAAGATTTAGGTTGCTTGTTCAGCAATTATCGATCATTGGCTTATTGTATTATGTATATAATGAGTCAGCTGCTGGAAAAGAATAGAATAGGAATGGACGTTTTGTACAAGTTAAGGTGATTTCACCAAAGTGTTTAATTCAGTCGGGAGAGATGCGTTGTGAAAAGTTGGTGAACAGTAGAAATCTTGCCAGAGAGTGCTCACGTAATCAGAAAGGTATGTATCGTGCGGTGCGTACCGATGGTTGAGGTTCAGGTTCAGAAAATTCTTTCGAACAGATTTTGGAGTATGGTTTGAAAATAGAATTTCCACTGCTTTTTGCAGTTTTCTTTGACTAAGTGCCCTAGCCAATGCGAAAGAGTGAAGCTATGGTGGTAAAAGTGGCTAACATCTGCGTGAACTTTGTTGCATTTGCGAGCGATGTCGTACTGCTTGTCGATAGTTTCGAAGCTCTGACATCATTGTTCCGATCTGGGCTCTTGATTAGCTTGAAGAACAGGTAGTGAATGGAAATTAGTAGAACCCAGAACAAAAACTGTTTTGTAACTGACACTGAAGTTGTGGAAAAGTTGCCTAAACGTTTGTACTTTGGGAGTACATCGGCTGCAGAGGGGCGAATTGAAAACAAAGTTAAGAAGTGCCTTGCGTTGGCATTGGCAGCGAGCAACACGTTGTTTAAGCTCTGGAAAGACAAGGATGTGGACAATAGCACCAAACTGGCGATTAACAGCGCCCGCATTTTGAACATCTTGCTCTATAGGTCGGAGATGGGATCACTTAACAATGCTGAGGACAGAAAACTGGAAGCGAAAGAAATTATTTTAATTTCAGTATTAGGAGTGAAGTTGTGCGACCGGGTTTTAAATGTTATTGTAAGTCGTGATTAGAACCAATTTTGATCCAGTTAAAGTGTCTTACTGCCTGCGAACAAGGTGTGTAAAGTGGTTAGGCCATCGTTACAGCATAGATGATAGCTGCTTTACGAAGCGGATACAGAACACAAAGTCTGATGGCAGGCGGCCACCAAGAAAACGTCGAACAAGATGGAACGGTCTCGTTAAAACTGACATTACATCGAAAGGCATGAAAATCGTATTTATTCGATCCTGGTGGAATGCCTGTGTGTCACCCGGTGTCGACTTCGATTCAGTGGCGTAAGAAGTCGAAGTTATATTCAGTGGCCTTTATCACGTGCTTAATGGGTATTTAGATTGTTACTCCAATAAATTCGTCTTAAACTCTGGTATGCTTTGCCTCTTTGAGGCAAGGAAGAATAAGGTTCAAACAGCGCGAGTCACGTCGTCGGTGCAGTAGGATAATAAGAATACTGTATCGTTTGAACATCGGCATAACGTAAATGAAAAGTTATATATTTCGATACCCTCCTGCATTCAGCGGTCAAAGTTTACAGTCATTGTGACAGGTATGTTAGCGCGTTGTCTTGCTCATATGGGCCAAAGTTCGCAGCTGTCGCTTTTTTAAGTCGTTGAGCAGAATTATAAAAGAATTCTCGGCTCGGCTCTTCCGATCTGTTCCAATCATAAAGGAAATAGAAAACGATGCTTCCCTATGATTATATATTACCGTTACATTTTTGTTGCACTGTAGTACTTACTAACACTTCCAACTTTCACTTTCGCGTATATTTTGTGTATTTCAGTTCTGCAAGTTTACACTCTTCTGAATGTGTTCAGCTTGCTTACGCTAGCAAGCCATATCTCGGTGCTTGTGGTTTCCGATCAGTCATATCAGCACAGTATTCTTTCTTACACGTAAGTGCTACAATTTGTACTAATTATTCTTGTTGTTACGTTTTAGCTTTGCTATTAAGATTAGATCGGTTTCTATAGTCTTTCTTCAATGGCAGCTTATTAAAAAAGTAAATCTCAAGGTCTCCAAACCAAGAGACTGGTCGTTTTTCAGAAGGTAAAATGCGTGTAATGCATCATCATACTGTTATCAGCATTGTCGTTCACTTATTTCCTCTTTGTTGGCTATCTACCTTAGCATCCTTCTATAATGCTTGATCATATCTGTTAAATGTTTAAAAGTCTGGTGTGCCGTGGTAAATGAAGGATTTTTTGTCTTTTTTAATTTTTGCCTTAAGAATTAATATAAATCTTGAATATCTTAAAAGTTAAGTTTTTATTAATGCAATTCGTCCATTTATATGAAGTTTATAGCGAATTGTCACTCCTGAAATGTCGTTGCTGATGAGCAAAACATCTTTAAAGCAAGTAAACGATGTAAGTCAAGTTGCATTTAGCGTCGCAGGTGCGTATTTACTGCTAAGCCGTGGCCTACACAAATGACCTCTAAGGCAACTAGGTGCGTAGGATGGTGAAATACGCCGTCAAATCTGATTTTGGAGACTTATGTTGCTGAGCTGTGTTCCTGTTTATTAATATTTATAACTTTTCAAACTTTTATTAAGATATGAACGTTGGGATGTACTCAGTGTTTTCACCAGTACAATGTTAGTGACTCTCGGTTCGCTATTTCTCCTCAAAGAGAGCGTGGAACAACTGCTTGAAGAGTCTGAAGTGAACGGAGATTTCATGCTGCCGTTTGCTGCCACGCTGGCGCTTCTCACGCAGCTTTTAGTTGTATATGGCGTGCACAACGAGGAACTGTCGAACGTAGTCATGGCGTCTGGTTCCAGCTGGTTACAGGAAAACGTAGCCGATTTCGGTCGCTCAATGAGCAGGTATATTCCAGGTCTCAGCCAGCTACTATTGCCTCGCGTTAACCCCATTTCGCTCCTGTCCGTTCTTGGTTGGCTCTTCTGTATAATCGACAAAATATTCATCGACTTTTAGTAAGTACTGTTTTGTAAATTACTACGAAAGACCATTAAATGAAATAAATTATTAT